TCTCTAATGTTATACTTTCTAAGTAAAATCCACTCTGGGCATAACAATGTCTGACCATTTCATTTGAACAGCGTGAGGGAGAATGGATTCGAGACCACTGCATGCAAGTGGGAGACGCGTACTTGATTGTCTACTCCATCACAGACCGAGCAAGCTTTGAGAAGGCTTCCGAACTCAGAATACAGCTCCGCAGGGCGCGTCAGAAAGAAGATATCCCCATTATTTTGGTTGGCAACAAAAGTGACCTTGTCAGGTGCCGTGAGGTTTCAGTGGCAGGTAAGGAAAATGATGAGTATAAACCAGACATAAACGTTAAGAGTCATCTAGCAGCTTTTGAACAAACTGTAGAGCTCTGGCTGAGGGAGTGCACTGTGATCGGGACTGGGCGATAAAAGAGCAATACAACAACAGAGGACTGGAGCAGAAGGCAGAGGACTGGGAGGGGTCTGCCAGGTCCTTAAGCTTCCCTTGGTAATGCTGTTACATGTCTGATAATCCCTTTCCTAAAGTTATTAAGTACCATCATAAAAGCAGCTTGAATTTCTTCCCTTCCAGCTCCTAGTGTAAGACCACTGCAATACGTGACTTCTCTGCTAGCTTGAAACCCTTTGGATTTCCAATACATGTTTATACATAACGAGTTTAGCCCCCTTATTGTGCTACCAAAGATTATATCTTTTTATATAACTAGTTCTCTGTCCTCCTTGATGAATTAAAATTCCCTCTCACTCTTCATTTTGCTAGACTAGGCAGGGATTGTGCAGCCTTTCAGGAGAGGTCTCCTTGCTGCTTGCTTAGGGATGCTAAACCAGCCCTCCCTCTGCTGCACATAAATGAATAGCCACTAAGCCCATAAATAGGAATGGAGAGACTACTGGGAAAGCTGCTGCCGGCTCTCTAGGTCTGCAAGCATCATCTTGTCTTCCCTGAGGCTTAGGTGACACAATATAACACACAGCAATGCACTAGATGATCTTATCTTGGCCCATCAGAAACACGGGTTCCTCCGCTGCTTCTCTCTGCAGCTGTTCTGCTCTTCTCTTTCCCAATTGAGCTAGGCTTCTTTTTTTTTTTTTTTCCACTGGGGATGTGCACAGTTCCTCTGGCTCCTGTCACAGTTGCCTCAAGTGAAGAGTTTGAACTGAGGAGTTCATTGGGAGCCCAGGGATGCCTGTTTGCCTTCTCGCTCCTCCTGAAAAATCTTTTGAAAGATGGCAGATGTATTCATGTCACTTTAGTCACCCTGGCGATGAGTTCACAGCAAGCCAGAAGACAGAATAAATCACCTTGTGTGTGAAAGACAACTGTTGTGGTTAGCTTAAGCTCATATAATAAAGGATAAGAACTATGATTTCAGATGTACCTCTAAAGCCATAGACATAGTTCTGCCTTTATTTATGGGTTTTGTATATGGTGTCTGTTCACACTAAAGTTGCTACTGTCCCAAGACCCTGGTTTACACCCATGACCCATGGAGGAGGACTAGCACCTGCCTCCTATGCTGTGCTGTGCGCATGGAGGGTGCTGTCATCACCCTTTAATGTGACTTGAGGGAGTCTGCACGTAAGATGACCAGGTGGGTTTGAGTCACTGCTGACCTCTCAGCCTTCAGTGTCTTGGCGCAAGTCGGTCAGCCCCAGCTCCCTTCACAGCTGACGGCGGGAACTGGGCTTTTCCAGGAGGGGATTCACCCCCCCTCGCTGGGAAGGGACTGTGACACAGAGCAGATGAATCATGGGCTAGCAGGCAGCATTGGGTGATTAAAGACTTATCCGTGCCTATATTAGGCTTGAGGAATTCCCCTGGTGGTGCTGGCTCCCTGCACGTGGCAGCCTGCGGCCGCTTTGCCTCCCCCCTGCTCGTGATGCCTGGTGACATATCCACCTTGCAATTTTGCAGAGGGACGAGCCTGTGCTGTCGTGTTTGACTGCAAGTTCATCGAGACCTCGGCAGCCGTGCAGCACAACGTGAAAGAGCTGTTTGAAGGCATCGTGCGGCAAGTCCGGCTCCGGAGGGACAGCAAAGAAAAGAATGAGAAGCGGCTGGCGTACCAGAAACGGAGAGAGAGCATCCCCAAGAAAGCCAGACGGTTTTGGGGCAAAATAGTTGCCAAGAACAACAAGAACATGGCCTTCAAACTCAAGTCCAAGTCTTGCCATGACCTATCGGTACTTTAAGAACGCTGGACTCTGCCAGAGCTTGTGGCATTTTGTGGACATTATCTAACTATGTTGTGGGACAATCAATCAATCTATATTAGATTGGGCTATCAAAGTGACTTAGGTTCACAGTTGTGATTGTGATGATACGTGCTGGCATAAGAACAGCACAATGCATGGAAATATCTCTCTCCCCTTTTTTTTTTTTTTTTTCTTTTGTCAGTAGTTTTAAAAGAAAATTATAGACCAGAATGACCCAAAGTTATGCTGGGAAGTGTTCTGGAATATACCTGTTCGTTCTTCTCTAACCTTCGGATGATAGTGTAAGAACCTCAAACCGTCATGACTTGGGAAGTGAATACAACACTCTTTACTCTTTCTCCTTGTTATTATTATTTCTTTTTTAAAACTGTGTAAAGAATTGAGGAACTGACTGGGTATTGGTCCTTTGCCAGTTGGCTAGTCAGGCTTGAGCACCCACAGCTGAAAAACCTGCATTTTTGTAGAATAGCCACCAAGACACTTGTTTTGTTTTGCCTTTTTTTTTTTTTTTTTTTTTTCAAGGTTTGGTTTCAATGGGTTTACCC